CACTGCTTCTCAACCAGGTGAGTTCCCCTGTGCACAGCAGCGATCGTCGCGCTATGTAGGTTCCTCTATCACGCGGAGGTGGCGAGATTTTTCTGTTGGAGATTGGCCACGAACCGTACGATGCCGGACGCTACTTTTGTTAGACGTTTGCAAGTCGTAGTGTACTCATCGACTTGGTCATTTTCACATCAGTTGAATAATCGTTCGCAGTTCCCCTTTGGTGAACTGCTGGTACACCTTAATGAACTGGCTCCGATCTCTGAGTAGAATTCTGTAAGCACTTTCAAGAATATGTCTGTACTATTTTCTTGGCTTTGAGTACTGCAGTTCACGAGTCGATATGATCAGAGACCTCATTGGAGGGTATAGTATTCTAATACCCTCCCGATGCGTGCTTGTGTGCGGGTATACTCGAGCGGGTACCACTCCCCCTTCCCAGCAGAACCATGGTGAGCCAAGGGTAAATGAAATTTAAACATGTAAATCATCATGCGCAGTCATGGAGATTCACATACTGCGTAATGCAGTGTCCAAGGATTGTAGCGATTTCTCTGCACCATGTTCCTGTCGTCTGGCTACGGGCTTTCTGCGTATGGCTGGCTGAGAACGTTGAATGCTCAGTTCGACTCGTTCAATTATCTGTGTCGAACGTATACTTTCTTCCCCGATACTATGTAGTCCAGAGTGTAACACGCAGTTAACGACATGTGTAGCCTTCTTAGCTTAGTTGGTAGAGCACCCGCTTAGTAAGCGGGAGGTCGTCGGTTCAACTCCGGCAGAAGGCTGTTTATCCAACCATATTGTACAGTGCATTCCCTATGCTATGCCATGACGGACTTTGATGTTTCATCATCATGATGATGATCAGAGGTGGGATTCATCTCATACTCAAACCCAACAAATACAATCTCACAACTGGCCTTGCACTAACACTTGCCAAGCACTCGAATCGATATGGGCAACAGAACAAGTACACGAACAATACATGAACATTCACAACAGATCATCGCTAGCATGCACGGATGTCAGCCTCCATTATGAAGAGCTATCATATGAAGATTTGCCTGTTCGGGTGTGGTCATAGAATCACCGAGAACAGAAACTCGTCTTGGTCCAACGTTTGCCGATGCCACCAACGAACACAATCGATCCAGTATTCTGTCGATCGAGGCGTGCTCATGGTCGAACAACTTGAGATATACCTGGGACGAGTGAGAGGAATTTTCGAATAGTCACTGATTTACCGGTCCTGAAGCTTCCTTCCTCAACTCCTCTGCAACCTCTCGACACGTCTCAGCCTTTCTTGGTCCTTCAGCCGCGAACATCTTGCCGATATTCTCTTGAGAGTCACTCGGGAGCTCCGACAATGTATGTCTGCCACAAGAAATCTGTTATGAATCAACGAAGGAGTATACTCACCGTTGTGTATGATCATGGGATAGTGTGGTAGCATGCGGGTTAATTCCGCACTGAAATGAACTCAGATGAAAGGTGCCGTTCTTGACATCGCCATCACGGGCAATGACGATTAACGAGCCCTTTCGCGTTTCACCACGGAATTCACAAGAGCCCGTGTGAACATCATCGCATCCAAAGAGGGCGAACGCTAGTACAACCGCAGCGATCGCTATGGAGCACAGCATTTACCTCAGGAGAAAACCTACATCTAGTTAAGCGCGCCCGCCCTGACGATCGATTTGACAACCAAACAGTATCAAACTACGACAACAGATGGACAACATGACGGTATAGAACTTAGTGCTTTGGTTGTGGCGAAAACCTTGCTTTGAATTCGGAGTACTCTATCAACCTGTCAAGGCCACTTAACAATCACAGCCCCTGCCAACAAGGCGTACCCGTCTCGGTCGGTGTCCATCTCCTGTATAATGGCATCGATCTCCATCTGTGCTGGGACCAGCCCCATCTGGCTAACCTCGCCAGATCTGAGAGATCGCAGACCCTCACTAGAAGACACATAATACAAAATCCTACTGGAGTAATTTTCTAATTTCATGCCGGTCGAGCTTCCCATCGCCGTTAAGATCAAGTTTCGAGAACGCCTTCCACAGCCTTCCATCAAGGTGAGTGTCATAGAAGCAGAGAATGCCAGCAATGAGCTCAGTGTAGTCGATCCTGACAGGCCTTGACAAGCTGAGCAGCCGTAGGAGCTCACCTCCCGTCGCCGTCCAAGTCCATAGCCTCTACGGCGCGCGCGGCCGTACTCTGGGGGATGCCAAGCCTGATGGAACATTTCGCTGCTAGTGCGGGGGAGAGGCGGCGAGGCTCACTTCACAAGACCGGTCACGCAAGTTTGCTTGGATATGATGCCCTGCTTCTCGTGGTCTAGCATGCGGAATATACCATTGATTTCACGAACACTCACAGCATGAACCTGAGAGAATCTTCACGTGGGGGGGATAAATCTTCGCTGTGCGCCGCGCTACGTGCGTCGCGATCTCCAACAGAACCGCTCGTTCGAATACACTCCGACGGGAGTAATCAACCAACCCCTGCGAGGAAGACCTTCACCAACTGACAGCAACACAGGCAACACACCTGCATGACATGGTCTCCAAGTTCTCGGACGTTTTCACTCGGCGCGACATCAAACCAAGGGCTAGTCAAACACTGCGCACAAGTTGGACGTAGACGATCCGAGTATCTGGCCATGATGTCTTCGACAGCGAGTTCCACCACACCTACGTCATCATCTTCTTCACGAGCTGTATGGCATGTGGAGTAGCATGTTTCAATAATCTCCAGTCGGGACCAACACTTATCGCCTTCAACCAATCTTGCGCCTTCATCGATCGCGCGATAATGGGAGGCTGAGTACACGAGCCTACCTATAGAAGAACCCAGCCGACTCACTTCACCACAGAAAAGGTGGAAAAGAACACAACCGAGGCTGTAAACATCGCATTTCAAACCAAAGGTGTTGCTTCTACTCAGCGTAGCATTCCAAACCTGATAGACAACACATTACAGCAGACAGGGAGGCCCCACCTACCTCGGGAGCCATCGTATAAGGCGTCCCTGCAACATGTCGAGATACGAAGGGACGGTCAGGGTCGAAGGCCTCAGCTAGACCAAAGTCGATCAACACTACATGAGGAGGGGCATCGAATGGATCTGAAGTTAATGACTAGAGCAAATCAATAATGATGGTACAACTACTCTTGGTAGTCTTATCTTTGTTGAGTAACATTATGTTCTCCGCTTTGATGTCTTTGTGGATCAAACCATGGCTATGGCAATACGAGACGGCCTCCAAAACCTGCGCGTATCTGAAAACACACAAGATCCCGGGGGAGCGGTTTCCCCCTCCTACAGGCCGGCAATCCATCCTTCAGTCAAACGCTTCTTCCCTCTACTCTTGGTGTATGTGTCTTCTATCACCTGAGATGTCGAGATGAATCTGTAATCTCCAACAAAACTTTACTTTCATCAGCTCGCCACCTTCACACAACTCGAGTATGAGGTATACGTTGTTGTAGTCCTCGAAATACCTGTGGTTGAATCTTTAAAGTATATTAAATAGTATAGTATGAAAATCGACTCCATCACACACAACTGGTTCTATGGTGTAACGGTTAGCACTCCAGACTCTGAATCTGGCGATCTGGGTTCAAATCCCGGTAGAACCTTTTCTACCACAAACTCACTCGAACATCTTCAATATATGCGGATGGTCCATCTTCTTCATATTCTTTATCTCTTGCTCCAACTCCTGCGGATCCATATGACTACTCTTCC